CGTGCCCGACCGCGGCCGGCAGCCGGACCTCCACGGCGCCCGCTCGCTGTGCGCTTCCCCGCCCCGGGAGCCGCGCGGGCGGGAAGACGCGCAGACTCCCGCGTCGGTCCCCTTTCTGTCTCTCGGTTCCTTGTTTCTCCCAAGTAAGGGAATCAGCCGCAAGGACGGAGCGCTCGGGAACCGCGCAACCAAGTGTTGCTTGGTGAGGTAAGACCGCGGCCGGCGTGGCGGACGCGGCTTGGGGCTTATGGGACCCCGGGCGCAGCAACTTGGAAGGGGGCAGAGCTGCAGCCGGCCCCGTGGCCAGGGACCGGGCTCCAGCCCAGGCGGCTGCGCCCACCCTGACAGTGCCACCTGCCGCGCAGCCCTGCGGGAGGGGGTGTCCCAAGGGAGCGTTGCGGACCAGGGGAGGATGCGGGGTGGGGCGCCCGCCCTCCTGCTGTTGGAGGCCCTCCCGAACCCAGAGACGTGTGAGAAAAAGCTCTTGCTCCAGTTCGCTGAAGCAACTGGTCGGGTTCTTCCGTCCGGGACTTGCCTTGCTCCTTGTCACCCAGTGCGCGCTCCGCGGTGCACAAGGGCGGCGAGAGCTGGAGACGGGTTCCTGCTATCTGGGGCCACAGCCTCCAGCCGTCCCGAGTGGCTCTCCCACTTGGGGAGCATTCCACAAAGCCCCTGGCTGGGGGACTTGAAGGGGAGCTAGAGGGAACAGGGTTACCTTGGCAGAGAGAGGAGCAGAGGGTCAGGAAGAGACTGGAAGGCTGGCCTGTGTCGTCGGAGTCACGATTTGAGCCCGTTTGTGTCTTGAGGGGTGCGTGCAGAATCACCTGTAGGGCTTCGCGAACTCCGCCTTCCCCTCGCCCGCACGTCCCGAGCTGTTCTTCTGGACCAGTGGGCTGAGCTGGGGAGGGGGCTACAGGTGACGATGACGAGCTGCCCCATCGCCGTCATCACTGCAGTGGGTAGCCAGCGCGAGGCATCACCCCGTGGTCGGTGATCCGTCTGCGGAGCTCCGGGTGTGGGTCGAGACCCCTCCACAGTCGCCCCCCGCGGCAGGAGGGTCTACCGCAGCGCGGGGCGCTTCGTGGCTGCGCCGCAGTGGCTGGGGGAGCGCGGCGAGCTGGGGGGCAGAGGCGCTGCGTGGCTTTCTCCTCAGCTTATTAGCATGCGGTGACCTGCTGTGGGGAGGAGGGCTGGGAGGGCCGCCTGTCGTTCTGTCATTGCCGAGACTTGGGGGACACCTGGGCTCTAGAAGTGTACACAAGGGAAGTCAGATGAGAAGCAGCGACCAGGACACAAACAGCAGACTGCCTCTCTGGTCCCCGTGGGGAGATCGGCTTCCTCATTTTTGTGCCTGGGACTTTGTCTTAAAATACAGCTAAACAGCTCACAGTCACTTGCTGGAGTAGAGCCTACCCTCGTTGCCAATGAAAGACATTAATCATGGGGGCAAATGTCAAGATCTGGTCTCCAATGCGCATGCACACACCCACACACACCCACACACACCCACACACACCCACACACCTTTGTGCTCTGTGGCTTCTCGTTCCAGGGATGTGTCCTAAGGGAAGGTACTTTGCTGTTTGTCATGTTAAAAGGAGGCTGTATTTGCCAGAGATTTCACCCCAAATATAAAGTACGCTCATTAAATAAAGCAGCAGCAACTAAGCTAACTTCCCTGTTGTACTCCTGATCTGTCTTTATTGCTAATCGCCCTTAACGTTGTGTCCAGCACCGCAGGCCTTAGACATAGGCCTGATCTTTCTGGAAGGGGTCTTGGCCAGGAGAAGCAAATAAAACGCTTTCCCGCCTTACGGTGCCATGTAGTATTTGGTTCAGATTAACCACGGCGTGCGGAGGAGATGATACAACACAGGAGCATCTTGCAGTCTAGTTTCTTAGAGCTGGGAGAGGCTACACGCTCTCTGTTCCAGCTCCTCCCCACCTTGCAACAGGTGGGAAGGATCCCTCCAACCCTCACATTCCCAGAGGCGGTGCTGTGCATGTCTGAGACTCCTCCCGGGGAGAACCCAGAAAACAGCACCCTTCATCCTTCCCTTTACTGTTGATGGGGTTGAGAGGAGACTGGCCCCCAGTTCCTCCCCTGGAAGGGAAACGAAGAGGGAAGGGGAGGATGGCTCCACTGTGGTAAGACTCTTTGTCAGCAATGTCTTATTGTATGACTTCACTACAATATACTCTTTTAGGAGAAAATAATTTGTTTATTGCAGAAGATTTGGAAAGTTGGAAAGTATGCAAGGAATCGAACAAATCACCCATGAGTCTACTGCCCAGATCCAGATCCTATGCTATTAATATATCAGCATATTTGTTCTCTAACAGTTTTATGATTTGAGATTATATGGGGGGATCTTTAAAAAACGCATTGAAAATGCACATTATGAAAAAAATTACTCATGGTTTTCAAAAATTGTACCAAGACAAGCTTGTACATCAATGTTATTTTTTCCATGAGCTGTTTGAAGTCTCCTCGTACAGTTCATAAAAAGCACACATTTGCTGGGTACCTAATTAATATATTTTGCATGGCGTTAAGAATCATATTAAGGGAACCAGCAGTTAGCGTAATGGCTATGTCGCTGGACTCCCACGTAGTCAACCGCGGTTCGTGTCCCGGACCCAGTGGCTTAGAACTCACGCTGGGCGTGTGTGAGTGCGTGCCCAAGATCCTGAGAGGAGAATGGAGGAGAAGGGATTGCGGCGTGGCCATCCCCCCTGGGGGGTGATTTCTCACTTTCTGTCTCTATGTCTCTCTCTGTCTGTCTGGCAAGTGCACGTGCCCTATAGCGAAAACCTCTACAAAAAAAAAAAAAAGAATCATATTAAAAAAATCATATTCATTATATTTGCTTTTTTTTAAGAGACACTTTTGCTATAGAGTGCATGCACTCTCTAGATAGACAGAGAGAGAGAAAGTGAGAAATCACCCCCCAGGGGGGATGGCCATGCCACAACCCCTTCTCCTCCATTCTCCTCTCAGGATCTTGGGCACACACGCACATGTACCCAGTGTGAGTTTTAAGCAGCCGGGTTTGGGACTCAAACTGCAGTTGACTAAGTGGGAGTCCAGCAGCATAACCATTATGCCATCTGCTGGTCCCTACACTTGCTTTTTACCGCTCAGAAGTTCCTCTGAAGTAAGTATTATTACTGTCAATCTCGGTTTTCTAGGTTGCCCAGAGTTCAGGTGGCTTGCCGAAATCATGAAGCGAGTAAGTGGCAGAGCCAAGATTCAAATGCAGGCCATCTGACCCCAAAGGAAGGCTGCGTCTGTAACTGCTGCTTTTGTGCTTTTTTCCTTAATTAGTGTCATAGCAAAAGTCCTTCACGAACACCATTTTCATGGCCGCATCTTATTACACTGTTAGTCATTTAAATTGTTTCCTATCTTTAGCAACTACAAATATCTCTGGGCAAAGTCTTTACTGCACACATTTCTGATTAGTTCCTTTGGATACAGTCCCAGAAGCAGAGTCACTGGGTCAAAGAGCACAGAGGTTTTAAGATTTTTGATATATATGAGAAGTCGCTTTTCAAAAGGACTACATCAATTTACGCTTCCACTCACCAGCAGCAACTCTACCGTAGTCAAGGCAGGGGAACCCTAGGGACTTGAACAGACCAGGGTCCCCATGACCAAGCCACACCACATGAGCATCCCCTGGCCTCTTGGGAGAAGGAATCACGTGTACTACTATGCTCTGTGTACCCAAGTATGACTATGGAAGTCATACAGTATAAGCTATACCTATGACTACGTGAGCAAGTGTCAGTTCCAGCATGGTCTAGCCATAGGCCACGTAATAACGGAGCAAATCAATCTGTTGTGTAAAATATATAGGTGTGCATAACACTCCACTTCTTTGTGCAAGTAACTATAACCCTCTCTCCTACAATGTATCACGACCACAGCCAGATCCAGCAAGTCCGACCAGTCCATAACAGCTTCTTCATGTACTGGCTATGTTCGTGGAGCTGTTTGTACCAAGTGTCAGAATTCCACAACCAAACCCCACAACCAATCCACAGTGGGAGTTGATACCACCATATAAGTAACAAAGTCTCTTGGATAAAAAATTAAATAAACAAATTTTAAAAAAATAAAGAAGGAAGAAAGAAAACCACCCAGGGTTAGTAACTACTAACAAAACCATTTTTAAAAATAAAATTAATAGTTAAGACATGGAATCAACCTAAATGTCCAACAACTGATGGTTGTATTAAAAATGTGGCACAAATACACAATGGAACACTACCCAGCCATAAAAAAAAGCAAGATTCTGTCATTCAATACAAAGTAGACACGTCTAGAAGATGCGGTGCTGAGTGAAATACGCCAACTGCTCACTACGTACCAGTGTTGTCTGCACTCCATGGCAGAAATGAAAAGACTTGAAGGCATGGAGGTAGAGAGGGAACTGCAGATACCAGAGCACACTGGAGGGCAGGTGGTAGGAGGAGCTGAGGGAAGACAGCATCTGACAGACACAGAAATGCATGTAGACAGGGCAAGTGGGTTCACTTTATTGCCTCAATAATTTATTGTGTGTGGTGATGTTGATGTAAATCGTTATCATCTTGGCTTCCCAGGGGGTCAGAGAAGGGTTCTTCTGAAGGCTTTCCAGGGAAATAACTGGTATAATTTGTGAATGTGAATGACATTTCAAGAGTACAAAATGTTGCTCAGGGACTTAAGAGGTCTTGTGCCTGGACAGGTAAGATAGGGAGAAAAGAACCCATCCATGGTATGGCCTGATGAGAGAAGCAAACCTTGAGAGCAGGCCCGCCAACCACTTTGCCCATGCTGACCTCAGGAAGCCCTGTCCCCAGGACCCATGCTGACCTCAGGATGCCCTGTCCCCAGGACCCAAGAGCGACACTGGCTTCACCAGGATCTCATATTCCGTTAATCATGCCACTTGTCTCTTGACCTCCCTGTCAATGTCCTTCACAGGGCATTTGCTCCAGTCCCCTCACTGTCATTATCCCTTTTCTCTCAGTTTTCTCTAATTTTGTTATTTGTAAAGAATAAAATTTCAAGGGAGACCTAATCAGCCCCAAGGATAGTGAGATCATTACCTGCTTCATTCTAAATTTCCTATATTTATTAAAACCCTTTAAGTCGAATGAGGAATCGATACCATTGGCACCTGTTAAACTTGCAAATTAAATAAGCGAGCACTCCT